TGACTGTGTAGTGACTGTGTAGTGACTGTGTAGTGACTGAGTAGTGACTGTGTAGTGACTGGGTAGTTACTGTGGGCGTGCTGCAGTAATCCTACCCCGAGTAGCAATGATTGGCAACAGCTATGCCTGGCTGTGTGAGAAAAATGTATATGACATGTATTTGTATTGATTACAGGAGGTGGAGAGAAATACTGTGATAAAGGATGCTATGCGAGAACAGTGCGTGCCGGCCTTGGTAGATTCCTGGTACCAAATACTTGTGAGTGTCCTATATTTGTTCTGTTGTAACCTCATCTCGCTGATCTTACTCATCGACCTTGAAATTATGGGGAAAGATATGACACCACCGTGTTGTGTTGCAGACGACATATGAAACCTCACATCCAGAGCAGACGTGTATGTGTCTGGAAGCAGTCGGCCACTACATATCGTGGATTGACATCAACTTGATTGCAAACGACAGGTTCATCCCAACGTTTGTACGTATTCCGTATTCGGTGCCGTGCAAACTGTTACGTTTCGACTCCATTGCCTTCAATTCGTGTGGCAGAATGGCTAGATCATACATTGATGTTTTGTGCATTTTAGCGGATGAGGAAATTGTCTGTTTACTCGGCTGTCAAACTCCTCACATGACACGTGTAGGATGTGTCGCACGTCTGTAATCTATCACAGTGACACATGTAGTAGATTATTCGACCACCATGGTACGGCACATGCTGTCACACATGCATACGTTAACGAACCCCTGACCAATGGTCGTCAGGTATTGTTGTTGAGTAACTGCAACTGAGGTAGTTGGTGTTTTTTCCCCCCGTAGAATGACACGGGTGTGTTTGCTTGCAGGTTCGTTATATGTCGATGCCGATGCTGAGAGAGAGTGCTGCTGATTGCTTCAAGGAAATTATTAGTAAAGGCATGGACGCCTGCGCGAAGATGAAGCTGATCGATTCACTGATGACTGTGCTGGAGAATGCTGGCATTTTCAACCTTGCCGAGGTGATGTTTATGTACATCGTGCTTCTCCACCTCTCTCACTGTATCATCGTCCTCCCAGCTCCCTTCCTCTTCTCTTGTTCGTTCTATTCTTGCTCTCTTCTGATCTCTCTCTCTCTCTCTCTCTCTCTCTCTCTCTCGTTTTTTGCCTCCTTGGTTAACTCCCTCTTCAGCCCTCTTCAGCCCCCACCACGCCACCTGATAGCATGCCTTTTGGTGAATTAAATTTTTCTTGGGATGAGAGAAGAACCACGTTGCTGCAAGAAGTTGTCAGATGTTTCACCAATGAAAATGTGTTTTCTTTGCGAGCAGGACGAAGATGCTGATTATTTGGTGAAGCTGGCAGCGTTTGTAAATACCGCAGGGAACCAGCTACTGCTTGGCTTCAACAAGTAAGAAAATCTCCCTAATCGCCTCGTACTAGCTCTATACTATTAGCTGAAAACAAAGCATCTTACGGAGAAAAAAAACAAATCAGCTTCCTCACCAGCATCGGTTTCACATGTATATCGATCTGTGTGTATGTTTTGCAGTACGTTTCAAACATGTTTGTAACGGTAGACTTACACCCGCTGAAATAAAATCACAAGGTTTTATTATCCGTTTTTCTGTCTATATTACATATTACAAATACTATACTATATATTATTATTACTATTGCATTACTATATATTACAAAGTTCTACTACGTTATTGGTGATGTTGTGTCACGAGGCGCGGACGCGACATAATGTTCGGAAAGACTCGGTGAGCTCAATGGTTTTTTTTCTCGTCGCTGTGCGCAGGACGTCAAAGTCAGCGAAAACGACGGCCGAAGGTCCGGCTCAGCTGCAGTCCATCGAGAAGTACGTGCCGCTGATGCTGCGTTTCCTAGGCAACGACGACGACGATGTCTCAACTGCGGTGTGTGAGTTTGCGTCGGATTATGTTGCGCTGCTCAAGACGCGAACAACGTCGGATCTGTCACAGACTCTGCGACAAAACGTAGAGGTAATACTCGACGAATAGAGACGAGTCAGCGTCTATGTGCGTAGTTACGTATTTGGCTAGATGGACGGTTTTCTCTCTCCATCGTAGCTAGATTTATCATGTAGATTGCAGCACTTGAAAAAAACCATTAGGTTCTAAAAACGGTTTGGTTTACATATTTTTTGTTATACTCGTTTCTGAGTGCAGTTTGAGAGAGTGGGGCTGGGCAACTAACCGTGTTACTTGTTTTCAGACTATGCTTTACACTGTGATTACAAAGATGAAGTACGATGACTCTTATAACTTTGATTCTGAGGTAGGTACCTTATAGGTCACTTTCGTGAATCGTTGCGCGATGCGATGTAACAAGTTGTTTAGGCCACAATTAAAAAAATCTTTGTTTGCCCTCACTCGACCCAGGCTGAAAAGTTTGGGTAGGTAGGTAGGCTTTTTAAAGTTTGTTTTTAGCTCATCTGACATAGTCAGATGCAGCTTGTAGGTTGAATAATTAAATCTTACGGTATGGCAGTATAAAAGTTTGTTTTGTTAGTTGGGTTTGGTTGTTTTGCGTGTGATTGACAGTATTCGAACCCACGAATGTTTCTCTGCAAGGTCGTCGACGAGCAAGGCTTCTGCCAACATCTCCGAGCAGCCGATGACACAGATGGGCTGCGTGGAGGCCATACATCAGAAACACTTCAGGTAACGGCAATAATAGTACAGGTGGTTGTGACTAGACGGGGTAGAGCAGGGTAAAACAATCGACGTTTTATCTGTCGCTGTCAATTGTAGTTTAGTCACAGTTTAAGTTCAGTAAAAGGAGATTTGTAAACAGAAGTGAGGAAGTGTCATGTAACTCCTGTGTGTGTGGGGGGGGGGGGCATTTAGCAATAAGCTCGCATTTTAGCTGACTGGCCTTAATTAGAACTTGATTGACGCCAACATTTAGGTTTGTAGTTTGAGGTATGTGTGGCTAAACTAAGGTGAGTTTAATTGGTAAATCAACTACGTTTATTGCGTAGGATGAAGACGTAGGCTGAGGTAATCCTATCCACATATCGCACCAACGCATGTTTTCGCGCACAATTCTACGAAGTGGATCCTTGATGGCAGGCATAAGAGCTAGATCAACGCGAACGGAGAGGCGTCCGTAATGCAATATTTTCTCGCCGACTCCGCAGGTGTTCCTGACGGCCGTTGTCCGTGCCCGTGCAGTGGCGCAGGTGCAGTCGGGGGCGTGCGCAGTATCTGCACGGCCGGATGGTCGTGTGTTTGGAGGACGACGACTGATAGCGGGTACATTCCCGCCTGACCGTGGAAGCGCCTGCTGCAAGCGCGCAGCCGACGGCTCGGGCAGCATCCAGGAGTTCATCCCGCCCATCACCAGATCGATCGCCAGTTCAAGTCAGCAGAGGTCCGCAGCTAAGGTCGCGATTTTGTTTGTCGCGATCGTGCTGCGTCCCGATTGCGTCGGGCCGGCGTCAGCGGTGCGATGGCGCGTAGTCGCTTTAGAATGCTTGTGTAGTGGATTGTGATGCCGTTTGGCTGAGGGCTGATCTAATTCTGCTATTCTCATTAACGGAATGAGGTCTGAGCGGAGTTTCCACCATCGTACTTTGTCTTTTCCCAACGTTTTAACACTGTTTTAAGGCCACGATACATGACGCCTTGTCGCCTTCCTGTCTATTCACACCCATTTGACACAGTTTTACCTGCAATAAACGTTACTACGATGGAATCGTCCTACTCCTTCCCACCATGTTTAAAAAAAAAATATTTTAAGATCACGATAGCCTGACCACTACAGTGCTTTGCCTCCTTGATATTTCGAAATCTTTAGACAGTTAGCCACAGATAGCCACGTTACTACGATCGGGTTCTCCTTCTATTTCCACGTATTACAATAATTAAGCTCAACGATACATAACACTACCATGCCTTCGCGCCATCTATTCCACCATTTTAACACAGTTTTAAGCCCCAATATTGTGACACGATCCCGGTGCTTTTTTCTCGCCGCAGAAGTTGGTGGTGCCGCTGTTTGCACCAGGTGATTCATGCCGTATTGTGGCAGCCGTGTTCCGTGCTGAGCGTCCCGCCGCCCCGAGCAACCGACCATTCAGGCTCGGCGCGATGCCGAGAACCTCCAGCGGCAGCTACTTCCTCTTCCTGTCGTCGCTGCATCAACAACGGGGTCAGCGGAGGTCCATAGCGAGGCAAGAGTGAGGAGGCGGGGGGCAGGGGTGGGGGTCACGGAGGTCATACCGCCAAGCAAGGTGAGGAACGTGGGGGGGTCAGCAGAGGTCATAGCCAAGCAAGTGAGGAGGGTGGGGGTGGGGGTCGACAGAGGTCATAGCCAAGCAAGGTGAGGAGGGTGGGGTGGGGTCACAATGAGGTCAACCAAGGCAGGTGAGGAGGGTGGGGTGGGGGTCAGCAGAGGTCCATAGCCAAGCAAGGTCGAGGAGCGTGGGGGCGGAGGGTCACAGAGGTAATAGCCAAAAGGTAGGAGGACAGGGGGTGGGGTGCACAGAGGTACATAGCCAAGCAAGAAGAGGAGGTGTGGGGCAGGATTGGCCGGCGTTATGTGCACATTAATCGGCAGGTGAACTTCTGGAGAGCTGATTGTGTTGTCTGTTTGTTGCTTGTTTGTGGATGTATGTGTGGATGTAGCGTGTTGTCAGTTATTAGTGCCGTCCTTGAAACCGAATCTCATATTTCTGCGTGCGCGCGGTTAATGCAGTGCCTAGATAGATGTGGAAATGAGAGAAGATTTACAGAAAATGAATGAAGGTCAATCTTTAATCGTTCAACGGTGCAGGTCCAGTTTTTACGGTTTAAACTGGATTTCCTTATTATCAGCTCCAGGCAGGACATGTGCAGGAGTGTTGTCCTACTGGTCAATCCATGGTGCTGGTGAACTCAACGCTGACCCTGTCGTAAAGTATAGCCTGACGCTTATTAATAAAACTAATTGTATATATATATGACGCAGGCTGCACTATACAGCTGTATCAGATTGCACTCCCTGGCTCTGCTTCTTCAAATGATTTCTGATTCCTGATCTGGGTTTATTATCAGTTCCATTTTGAAGTGCTGCTGGTCTGCTGGGAAGAGATACAATATCATAGTACAGCATATAAATTGTAAATACGTAATTATAAGATTATTAGGAAGAAGGCAAATGTCAATCAATCATAGAATAAGCAAAACCATTATAAATAACAAAAGTAATGATAATCGATTATGTTTTAAATACGAGATGAATTCTTCTTCGTCGTTCACAAGCCGCAAAGACGTGTTTTCAACATCCTGCGCAGGCTGGTTTGAGTCCTGGGGAACGGACCGACAGCGTTCAGGGATTCCGTCGACTTCAAGTACAAGAGCATATTGCGCCGCCTGCTCTATGGCTCGCGCTCAGACCGACCTTCGCGCCCTTCAGGACGCAGCAGACAGTGCTATGCGCTGACGAGTGTGCGCTGTGTCGCTGAAAACTATCGCTGACAAGAGGGTATGTGAGAGGCAGCCAATGCGAGGCTTGTCGCTCTGTATGTCATGGGCAGTGTGAAGACTCGATTCGCTTTCATGGTTTTCCCATTGCACGCAACCATTTGTAATACATACGTGTCTGTGACACTATAATGTGTGTAGAAATGCTGAAGCGAATAATATGATTGGAGTGGATTGGTGGTATTTATGCCCAAGAAAATGAGATAATTATTCGATCCTGCCTGCCGCGTTTGACTGCGCCTATGTTTTGGTAAACGTTTGTGATTTCAGTGGCGAGTTAATGTTAGGCATGCAGTGATTGATGCAATACAATATGAGTGTCAGTAACTGACTTTCATGTTTATTATTAGGGAGACGAGTGCATGCCGCTACTTGCGAATCAGTTTATTTGGCCTACAATGCAGGTGCGCCAAGAGGTCATCCAAGTAGGCCATTGCGGTAGATCATAAAACAATGTCTTTCAGCAGTCCCAATGCAATGCTGGGACTTCTGGTATATAAAACCATAGTAACTAAACATCAAACTGAATGTAGGCGAGAATGAGCTAGACTGTTTGTTTAGTTAGTTTTTGAACTTTGGTCCCTTCACCTCACTTAGATTATCCTTATATCTCGTCTATGTTTCTGTAATTTTCTTGCAGTATACAGCCTGTATGTGTGCTGCCTTGCATTTGCTGGACGAGCGATGTGAGCCTGTTTCTAGAAGGCTGATGCTATGTATGTGTTTTATGCTGTAGGATAGAGGGATGGTACTGCTGATGGTGCACAGTGTTGTTACAAGTACACTGCAACAATGGGATTCTGCCAAGTTTGAGGATGTCGAACTGGCCATTTTTCTACTGTATAACATTGGGGAGGCTCTTCCGGTGTGTGGGCCGTGGCGCCATCTTTAATTTTAATACTTTATTATATGCGATCGCTGTAGTTCAACAAAATGGTTTGAGTATATCTTATAGTTTAAACTTCCATTCAATGTTGTAGGCATTGTTATAGATTTATTTGATATGGCCAAATGCATCTTTTTTTATGATATGCATTCATCTATGACAAGTATGTCCTGACTAGTAGGGCAAATCATATTAAAACTATGAAACCGATGTTATTTGTGAATATAAATAGGTCATTACATGTTTTCAGGCCAGCCAGGGTAACCACTTCATTGGGGATGACAACAAAGTCGTTGCACTCAAAGAGATGATGCGATTGGTGAGTTGGCTCGTAATACTGTGATGAGGATATATATGGATGTACATGCCTACATGTTTGTGCATGCTTAATATGCTACCTCATTATTTCTTCCTGGGTGTGGGAGTGTTTTTTGCGTAGCTACTGACTACAATTGAAATTGGTAACTGACAGTTTTGGGTAAATAGTGAAATTGAAGTTGAGTGTGATTTAGTGCTCTCCATTGGAAAACTACAACAGGAATTGTGTCATCACCAGATAGTAGAATGCTTGATAACAATTGTACTATAAAAACCAGTTGAATCTTGACTTGTGTAGAGCTACAATGATTCTATCTGTGGTACGAAAATGATTTGAGCCGAGTATCAGGGTGCAGCGCTATATTTTATTGCTCCGTGATGATGATGACGTTGTTCGTCGTGTTACAGCTCATCAGTAGTCACGTTAGTCGCTACAGCCACACGGCTGTGCAGCTGCAGTTCTTTGAAACCGTCGTGCGCTACGAGAAATACTTCAACTGCGAGTCGGACCAGGTGCCGGAAGTAATGGTAAGCGTACCACCTGTACGTGAAGTAATGGTAAGCGTACCACCTGTACGTGAAGATGCAACGTTAGTACCAGACATCAATCACGCTCATGACGTGCCATTATGTAATTGATTAAATTGATTAATTATTTTATTTGTTTATTTATTAATTTAAAGATGGTAAAGTGGTAAAGATATGTGAGCTTGCAAGCTTCTCACCGTCAGAAAAGACAGTCCAGTCCATTGTTATATTCCATTAGATTGCTTGTGATTTGATTTGATTTTGATTTTGATTGGAGCTGTGTGTGCTTTGTTACTTAGGTTGCGTTCCTTGACAGTCGAGGGCTGCACCACCAGAGCTGCAGGGTGAGAAGTCGAGTGTCGTACCTGTTCTCCCGTTTCATCAAGTCTTCAAAGTGAGTGAAAGATGGAAAAAAAGTTGTTGACCCTGCCACTTTTTTGGGGTTGCGACACAAATTGTTTGTCTGCTCTGAGGGATGAGGGGTATAATTTCAGAATTTTATGAACAAACTTAAATGATTTGGTTATTTCTACCATAGCCTACTTCGATCATAAAATTGTGTATAAGGAAATAATTTAGTATAATTAATTCTATATGATCTATGTAATTCTTTTGGTTCTTGTAATTGTTACTAATTCTGTGAACATTTTGCTTTCTGCTTTTCCCTGCACTTAATGATCATTTTACTCTGTTGCCACCAGGGCGCATCTGCAGCCGTTTGTCGAGGACATACTGAAACAGCTCGAGGACCTACTGGTGGTGCCACCTGCTGAGAATGGCATTGAACTATTGTTGTCCCCGGATGATCAGTTGTTTTTGTACGAGGCAGCGGCTGTGCTTATTGTTAGTAGCAGCTTTGAACCACAGGTAATACGAAGGCTTTTTATGCTTTTTAAATGTTAGTAATAGTGTTGGTAAACGTGGCAGTAACTCTAATAAAAGTACATCTTTGAGCTAAATCTTTTCATGGACTTGTGAACTTGCATTTACCTGGGTTACCTATCATGTATGTAACAACCTTGCTGCATGTTTCTAACTCTAACCCTAACCTGTATGCATTTACCCACTGTGTGTTAACTTATCTCGTGTTTATGATTTCCCAGAAGAAGCAACTGTTTATGAAGAGTCTGCTCGCTCCCATAGTCAGGAAATTCTCCGAGCTTCTGGAGAAGCTGGCGCTAGAAAACAACGAGCAACGACAGCAGCTGATAGCAGATGCTCTCGCTCAAGCCATGGCCTTCGCCAGGTAGCACCACCTGTCTTCTTTGTCGCTGCATTTTTTTAATTTCAATATTTTTCTTGTTTCCATATTTGATTCTGTCGGGAATTACCGTTGGAATAATTATAAATCTTACTATGCAGTAGTAAAGTTTCGTTTTGTTAGTTGGGTTTGGTTGTTTTGTGTGATTGGAAGTATTGAACCCACGATGTTTCTCTTCAGTCGTACGAGCAAGGCTTTCTCCAACCAGCAGCCGATGAAACAATGTGGCTGCGTGGAGGCATACACAGAAACACTTCAGGTAACGGCAATATATACAGGTGGTTGTGACTAGACGGGGTAGAGCAGGGTAAAACAATCAGACGTTTTTATCTGTCGGCTGTCAATTGTAGTTTAGTCACAGTTTAAGTTCAGTAAAGGGAGTTTGTAAACAGAAGTGAGGAAGTGTCATGTAACTTCTGTGTGTGTGGTGGGGGGGGGGCATTTAGCATAAGCTGCATTTAGCTGACTGGCCTTAATTAGACTTGATTGGACCCAACATTTAGGTTGTAGTTTGAGGTATGTTCTAACTAATGAGTTAATTGGGTAAATCAACTACGTTTATTGCGTAGGATGAAGACGTAGGCTGAGGTATCCTTCACATATCCACCAACGAATGTTTCACACATGTCTTACGAACTGATCCTTGATTGCAGCATAGAGCTACGATCACGCACGCGTCCGTAATGCAAATATTTTCTCGCCCGCTCCGCAGGTTTTCCTGACGGCGTTGTCCGTGCCCGTGCAGGTGGCGCCGGTGCAGTCGGGCGTGCGGCAGTACCTGCACCGGATGGTCGTGTGTTTGGAAGACGACGTGATGCCGTACATTCCCGTTGCCGTGGAAGCGCTGCTGCAGCGCAGCGACGCTCGCAGCATCCAGGAGTTCATCCCGCTCATCAACCAGATCGTCGCCAAGTTCAAGGTCAGCAGAGGTCACAGCAAAGGTCGCGATTTTTGTTTGTCGCGATCGTGCTCGTCCTGATTCGTCGCCGCGTCACGGTGCGATGGTGCGTGTGGCTTAGAATGCTGGTAGTGGATTGTGTATCCTTGGCTGAGGGCTGATCTAATTCTCTATTTCTCAATTAACGGGAATGAGGTCTGGACCGGAGTTTCCACCATCGTACTTTGTCTTTTCCCACGTTTTACACTGTTTTAGGCCACGATACATGATGCTATGTCGCCTTCCCTGTCTATTCACACATTTGACACAGTTTTAGCCTGCAATAAACGTTACTACGATGCAATCTCCCTCTCTTCCCACATGTTACAATATTTTAAGATCACGATACGTGACACTACAATGCTTTCCCCTTGTATTTCGAAATTTTAGACAGTTAAGCCACGATACACGTTACTACGATGGGTTCTCCTTCTATTTCCACGTATTACATAATTCTAAGCTCACGATACATAACACTACCATGCCTTCCCCCATCTATTCCCACATTTTACACAGTTTTAAGCCCGCAATATTCGTGACACGATCCCCGTCTTTTCTCCCCCGCAGAAGTTGGTGGTGCCGCTGTTGCAGCAGGTGTTCATGCCGTTTGTGCGCACCGTGTTCTCCGTGCTGAGCGTGCCGGCGCCCGACAACGACCTTCAGGCTCGGCGCGACGCCGAGACGCTCCAGCGCAGCTACTTCCTCTTCCTGTCGTCGCTCATCAACAACGGGGTCACGGAGGTCATAGCGAAGCAAGGTGAGGAGGGCGGGGGCAGGGGTGGGGGTCACAGAGGTCATAGCCAAGCAAGGTGAGGAGGGTGTGGGGCAGGGGTTGCCGGCGTTTATGTGGCACATTATCGGGGTGACTTCTGGAGCTGTTGTTGCTGTTGTTGTTGTTGTTGTTGTTGTTGTTGTTGTTGTTGTTGTTGTGAATGTATGTGTGGATGTACGTGTGTTCATGTTATTGTGCCGTCTTGACCGTAATCTCATATTTCTGCGTGCGCCGGGTTAATGCAGTCTAGATAGATGTTGGAATGAGAGAAGATTACAGAAGAATGAATGAACGGTCAACTTTAATCGTTCAATGCAGGGTCAGTTTTACGGTTTAAACTGGGATTTCTTATTTCAGCTCCACAGGACATGCAGGAAGTGTTGTCTACTGTAATCCATGGTGCTGTGAACTCACCTGACCCTGTCGTAAGTATAGCCTCGCTTATTATAAAACTAATTGGTATATATATATGACCAGGCTCACTATACAGCTGTACAGTTGCACTTCCTGCTCTGGCTTCTTCCATGATTTCTGATTCCTGATGCTGGTTTATTATCAGTTTCCATTTTTGAAGTGCTGCTGTCTTGCTTGGGAAGGAGATACAATATCATAGTACGCATATAAATTGTAATCGTAATTATAGTATTATTAGGAAGAAGGCAAATGTCAATCAATCAATAGAATAAGCAAAACCATTAAAAACAACAGTAATGATAATGAGTATGTTTTAATTGAGATGAATTCTTTCTCGTCGTTCACAGGCGCAGAAGACGTGTTTCAACATCCTGCGCAGGCTGGTTGAGTCCTGGGGAACGGACGACAGCGTTCAGGGATTCGTCGACTTCATGTACAAGAGCATATTGCCCGCCTGCTTCATGGCTCCGCTCAGAACAACCTTCGACCTTCAGGACGCACAGACAGTGCTAGCGCTGAACGAGTGTGCGCTGTGTCTGAAAACTATCGCTGACAAGAGGGTATGTGAGAGGCACCATGCGAGGCTTGTTGCTTCTGTATGTCAATGCAGTGTGAAGACTGGATTCGCTTCATGCTTTTCCCATTGCACGCAACCATTTGTAAAACTATACGTGTCTGTGAGACTATATATTCTGTAGAAATCTGAGCGAATACTATGATTGGAGTGTATGGTGTACTTTGCCGAAGAAAATGAGATAATTATTGATCCTGCTGCCGTCGTTTTGACTCTCCTAGTTTGGTAGAACGTTTGTGATTTCATGGCGAGTTAATGTTAGCATCTGTGATTGATGGCAATACAATATAAGTGTCAGTAACTGACTTTCATGTTTATTTTAGGGAGACGAGTGCATCCGCTACTTGCAGAATAGTTATTTGCCTACAATGCAGGTGGCGCCAGAGGTCATCCAGGTAGGCATGCGTGTAGATATGACAACGTCTTTCAGCAGTCAAATGCAATGCTGGGGACTTCTGGTATATAAACCATGTAACTAACATCAAACTGGAATGTATAGAGAATGAGCTTAGACTGTTTGTTTAGTTAGTTATTAGTTTTATTTTTTAGTTATTACTCCAGTGATTCAAAAGCTTCAGATTCCAGAAGCTTAACGTTCAGAAATATAAGAGTTAATATAAACGTAGTATCTGCTCCTTGTTTCAGGAATATTGTCTTGCTCTGAAGTCAGACCAGAAAGTGTTTAAAAGCTACTTGAAGGTAAGTGTGCTAATCCCAATTGGTGCGAGTACCATTAATATGTACATCAATTTCGATGCTTGCTAGTTGGAATGAGATGCTAGGTTCTCATGCATCACACATTAAGCAACGATAGGTCAGTGTTAATTAGCAAGGTTCGTTTGTTGTGCAGGTATTTTTCCAGAGAGCAAAGACATGATAAACGATGAGTGCTTGCAAGTGTCCAGCCAGAGAGGTGGGGATGCTCTCTCAAGCAATAGCCATAGCTGCTGCGGTGAAATTGACCCCGGCCACTTCTGTGGACGGACATTTTTAGTTGAATTGTTATGGCTTGTGTTGTTGTGTATATGGTATTTAATCGTGTAAATGCTGGGTAAAGCCACGTATTTTTGTATTGTTTTGTTAGGCAGGTTCTTGAATGCTCTGTTGTTTTTGTACGTAAGACGTTGGCGCCTGACCGGTTTCCGTGGCGACATTAATGCTGTGCATGTGATAGATGCCTTCTGACATCTGAGTCTATTGGTTGGTCCTGCTGTTTTACTGTTTGCTTTAACAGTAATGACGAGATTATGTCGAGTTATGACGAAAGCAGTTTCTTGCGAGGCTCAGTCGAAGGAATGTTCAGAAAGAAATTGATAGATGATGAATTTTATTATTCCTTAATTTTATCACTGCTTGGTTTGTATCACCTGAAGTGGGGAAATTTTTTGGTCTGATTTACCATACTTGATTTACCATTACTGTATTTTATCCAGTACAAGACATGAATTGTAAATACAGCTTGATAAAAGGCACCTTACATTTGTTATTAAAGCTTGGCTTAACCGCTTTAACGTCATTTCATGACAAGTATAATATACACGATGGTATCTCGTGATTCTCTTAATCTTATTTACCTCAAGCATTAAGACAGCGTGGGCAACCAGCCATTTCTACTGTTCTCTTGTTGTAGACAGGTGGTCCGCTTGCAAGATTGTAGTTTTGTGTGAACTTGTGTTATTTATACGTTTTTACGTCCATGCCCGTAGCGATAGTGCACGCATAGCCACACGTGCAGTGTTTTGTTTGTAAATACTCGAGTAGGGTTATCTTTGCTGGCGCAGGGTTCCATTTATGTTGCAAGATCAGCTGTCGTGTGTCATTACATAGTTTGATCAAGCATTTAATGTACCTTGTTACAGTATAGACGGCTCAATGGCCTCAATACGGTGGCCAAGAACACTAGAATGGCTGGTCGCCCTCTTGACGATTCTATTACAAAATCTGTAAATTTGGCTTTTCCAACTCGTATATTCCCTAGACGATTAGATTATCATTCAACTAGTCTGGAAAATCTTATAGGACATAATTTTACATCCGTGTGGTTATTGAGATTACTATTGTACTTGGGTGAAATATTCGATGGTATTTGTTATATATCTATGCAGTCCTTTTTCCTTTGCCTCTTTGGCAATGTAAATCTTAAGTAAATAAATGCAATTAGCAGAATTTAATTGCTCTCATCACAAACACCTGTGCATCCATTATTTCACAATGTTTATTTCATATACTACAGCAGAATGAAGTGAAAAATCCTAAATGATAAAACTGAAATGCATACAGTTGTGTATAAAATGGTCCTTAATTTATTTTTAATGAATTAAGTTGACAACATTGATGGTAGATAAATAGATATTATGAGGAGACCATAGTTACAAACTCATTTCCTACTACGTAATTGCATTTGTTATTATGGTATACTGGTATATTTTTGTTCATTACAGAACTGACCTCTACGTGCAAACACAAACATAAATGGTGTCTGGTCCACACTGACTTCACATTTTACATGACATTAAAGCGGACCTGGGCTTAACATTAAAGACAGAAACACTGCAGCCGATGAATAGATAAATATGAAAAGCAATGGAGAATCAAACAATCTCGACTATTTTTCGTTCGACAATATAATGCCAATACTCGGAAACTTAATTTGCTATCGTACAGGAAACTATATTAAAAAGGTACAAAAATCCCCATTTTCAGTGGTTACTAAATACGAGACGCGATTGAAGATGGCAGGATTTCGGTTGCTGCAGGGCAGGGCACTGATACGGAAAACACGTGATGCTACTCCACAGACGGTGACTTCTACTGATGTATTTACACGGTCGACGATGGTGCAAACATTAATAATACTATGTACAGCTTCGCCTCAGCTTCGCCTCAGCTTCTCTCAGTCTTGTCGGTGTCCCTGATGGCTCACGCACGCACGCTCGCATCATCCAAGCTGCAACTAAAACGCAAGAACGTAAGAACTAAGAAGCAAGAATACATGCGAAACAATGAGTTTGTGACTCACGTAAAATACGAGCACTTCCAGAAATAGATTAAACCTTGGATTAAATACCTAATGCTTCCATAATGATGTATAAACCAAGATTACTGAGGTTAACACACGAGAAAATGTGCAATCACTATTCAAAATAGGTCGAGCACACATTAGTTACCACGGAAACCACGGCAGACGACAAACACGTCACCGCAGTCGCCGAGTATTCATCCTCCACCTCACTCACTCACTCACTCACTCACTCTACCTGATTGACGGTAGGAAACTGAGTGGTTGTATAGATGATGTTCTGTCCAGCGACCTGCTGGTCGGCTGTGGTCAGCTGCAATGTCGTGTCGCCCGTCGCGTAGACGATTCCCGGCTGACCCGATGTCGTCTGTTCCAACATTGTCGCCGTCAGAGTCTGCGCCGCTGCAAAACAACGCCATCACGCGATAATTAGCACTGATATGCAAAACACATCTTTATTATTAACAAATGCATTTATAATTACGGGGGGGGGGGTAGAAGTTTACGTTAGATCGAGGGTGTCTAATGAACTACCTGCCCTGAAGATTAGTTAAGTCCACATCATAACACATATCAACACAAGTGATTGCTAGAGTGATGTAATCAATGCTATTGTGTTACCTGCTGAACATTATCACATTTTTTCTGATGTCAAACTAAGGAGGTGGTAAGTAAAACAGGGGGAGCACTTCATCTTCGACCTCATGACGATTTCAACCCGCTATTTCCCACAGCATATCACTATGAAATAATTATATTAATCACATCCATGAATAACTTACAGTAAGAGTCCTCGTTAATATCCTCCAAGCCGCCTGAAGCTTCCATCGACGCACCGCCGTATCCCTTCTCTCCCTTCATCACCTCAAACACGACAATTGACAAGGTTTGCTAACACCACGTGTCTATGCTCCACAACCTTTTGATTGTGCCGGCAGAGTTACAAAATTCGTTACAGACAAGTCATGACAGCAATGACACTATCAGGCACATTGAAAGAATAAGTGGAGCAGAAAGAAAGTACAGTACAGATGTGTTGGTGTACGGTATATACGTATAATTGGTCTTCCACAGCCCTTGTGATACTAATATATAAACAAGATCATTCTGAACATTTCCTTGCAATTAGTCAAAAATAAAGCCCCAGCCAATGGCACGCAAAGAAACCCTCTGTTGAATGCGTTTGTTTTTAATTTTGTATAGTTTATTGGAGATGAACAGAACATAATTATAATATCTAACGTGGAACAAACCTCTCGGTATTTCTGCAGGTAGAGTTTCAGGGGTTCTACGTAACTGTCAAAGCCCAACGTTGACATCGCGAATAGAATGTCCTCGCCATTGATCGTCTTTCTCTTCTCCTGCTGACAGCGGTCGCTCGCTCTACGGCAAACCTCCGATAAGGACTATGAACGCCCAGCTAACACGCCCGCTCACGTTTGACGTGTGACAACACAATGAGCAAATAATCTATTAGCTTGTAGACATTTGTTTATACATAAATAATTTATGTGCTCTTGAAGAGAATACCTCTCATCATTGATGCTTCAGAAAGAAAAATTATAAAAATATCTGCTGGATGTGCGACGCATGCTGGACTCCAGCCACAGGTTTAGGTCCTGGGAATATCACACGTCCAATTCTTAAAGTGAAGAAACGGCATCAATTCGTAAATTTACACCACAACCAGATTGATTCTGCTTTCTCAGCACCATCACAAATCTGCTTCGACCTCATCTAATCATCATCTAACTACAACGACGTTTACAAGGATACTCGCTGGTGATGAAACTGATGAATTCGGAAACACACTCCTGCATGCATTCTTTAGCATCTTTGGCTATCTAGAAAACACAGAAACACATAGAGAGTAATTAATGTCTGTACATCCGCCTGGCCTCTGACACAGCAAACAATTTGGTCTACCAGAAATTGGTAAAAAAAAACTGTAACAGATATTTAACGCCAATGTGATATTGTATTATATTCTAGCTATTATAGTTTTCCATGTAAATTAAATTCATAATACCTTTCCAGTATCTGGTATAGTGTTCTTCATTATTCTGCTGACATTTGCTATCGGCAAAAATCTATCCTGTAAAAGCAAAATCCATCTCATTCACAATTATATCAAATATGATATATATCAGGGGTTAATAATGACAAATTGTTATTATTAACCCCTGATATATATGATATGATTGCATTTCTAGATCTATATATATTTACATTGAAGATAATACATTAGTATTAATGACAGTTTAGAGAGAAAACAATCTCTCGTGTATTAAGATCCATGAGGCACCGGTAGAAAAACAGCAGCATCCATCTATACTGGTGACTTGCTATGTAGCTAACCTGCTCTCTGAATGGCGTAAAGCACGCTTGATCGTGCATCTGATCCGACTTGTCTCCATCCCCGTCGTCTGCCTTCACGAGTCCATTCTCCTCCTCCACTACAAAATTAATGGTTAGAAATAATCGGCCCAGCCATAAGACATTGTTCATTAAAAATAAATAATTGTGTATGGTCCATAAATTTATCGACGTGGATATTCGTCCGAGCATCGGACACCTGTTCGTATGCGCTATTCGTCCGAGCAGTTGTTGCGCATGCGCTGTTCATGTAGCATGCCGCAGGCGCACGGCACAAGTGCTGGAGGTAGGAAGTGTGAAGTGGGGGTCTGGGGCAAATTTTTAAATCTAGATGCTCTAAAATGCTATCTACCCTTTAGATTTATGATTTTTTGCCCTTATAGGCTGGGGGCTAGTAGCGTTTTGCTACAGCAGCCCTATGGCTGTGACGCCCCTGCATACATGCGTTGCGTATGTGGTTATACACCATAGATAGTGTTTGGTACTATCACTCGCGTATATAAACGAAACCGAGCGTATAATAAGAGAACCGAGTCGGTTTATAGTTAGTGTTAGAGTTAGTGCTGGGGTTAGGATTAGGGTTAGAGTTAGAGAGTAGGCGTGGTTAGGGAGTAGGTGCCTCCCTAGACTAGCATTATATTACATTTATGTAATACAACATGAACAACGCATGCGCAACAACTTCTCAGACAAATAGCGCATACAAACAGGTGTCCGATGCTCGGACGAATATCCACGTCCTAAATTTATCCCCATGATAAAATAGTCAATTTAAATAGTGGCAGTGCCAGTGGTAAAACACAATTATTTTGTTATGGGTTGCAGTACATCAAAGTGTATATAAGAATCGTAAAACCTACATAACTTCCTACGTACTAAGGACACACAATAAGTAATGAAAGTGTGTGTAAGACAGAATCAATCACGTAGGTTGTGTCTGTCGGTGCAACTGTCAGTGTCAATGTGAATCTACTGTGAGCGGGCGAAGCCCACACGCCACGGAAAGCGAGGGCGATGCGGGAAACGCAATCTTGCCGCCTCGGTGTCGGTAGAGATGTCACAACAGGCTGGGAGCGGACTCCAGATCAAGGAGCCGAGAGCGCGGGAGAGAACGCAATAACCGAAACCCACGGCTCAGGTTCCACGAGTTCTTGCGGATTGTGACAACCTAGACACCGACCAGATGATGAACCAGGGGCCAGAATCGGACTATGGATCCGAGCCAAGGGGAAATACGCACCCCCACCTTATTCGGTAGTGTAATGTAGCAGTTGTAATACTCACCCCACCTTATTTAGTACGGCCGGTTGGCCAGAAAGGAAGCTAAAACGAGAGGTGACGTAGAAGAGGAAACGCCGTATAAATAGTGGGAGCAGCCGCTCCTCGGAGACCTTTGTACAGGACACCCGCTGAGAAAAGGTGTAAGTGCGTGATACGGGTACTACCCTATGTAGTAGAAACGCTCTTTTCTTTCGGTAGTACACTGAGACTTCATGTATTGTATTAGAGATTTAGTAAAACACTAGCTAAGTAAACGTTACTCTTGTCTTGTCTTATGTCTCTATCAGTCTATTACAGACCTTCTACTACGGTAGTGCGAATAACACGCCTACACTACACACACAGTGACAGTGTGTTCCTACTGCGCCGGTTTGTTCATTTTGTTGTCTAAAATACTGCTAATCCGAGCATCATTACTTACCAACATATTGGGTACTGCTGTTTAAGAAAGATTCCCCGAGTGAATCGCCTCCTCCTTCAGCACCTTCCATTTCGTTTAATTAAATTTAACGTAAAAAATTCAAAGAAGGCAGACTCAGTGATGAAGTTCATCAACATAAAAACAGTGAATACTAAGCATTTTATGGATGCTCACTCGGAATTTCGCACTCGTTCCAAAATATGCCGCTTTTTCGGTGCCGGCGCCACCATCCAATGACACTTGAATTTTTTTGTTAAAATATGACTCTTTGGCGCCATCTCGCGTGAAAAATAATTAGAAAGTGCGCATAGCTATATAAAATAAACCGTAATATAGACTCTAATATTACACTCCTGATATCACCAGGAGTGTATAATATAAACGATATTTATATGTATTTACACAAGTAAATTTATGTATATATATTATATATAGTCTATATAATAAACTCATAATGTCATTTGTATACATTACTAGAGCTCATAGGGTCTATGTTCCCCAGGGTACTGCCGGAACGTACCCTGGTAACTATTTGATGTGGTTAGGGTTAGGGTTAGGGTTAAGGAGTAGGCGTAGGCGACTCCTTTATTGTGTGACAGCTCACCATCGACGGCTACGTTCTTGCGTTTTTATGCACAGACACATAAAGCCGTCTGCCAAGAGACCCCTTACCATAATTATGTTCCTAACCAGTAATAAACATTCTTCAATGCCCAAGGGACTGTAACGAAGAATGGGAGAGTAAACGTTTATCAACTTGCGGATTGCAGAAGAAAATGTTTATATTCCTAGACATGAGATTGCTTGTCATAGATACCAAATTATGACATGTATATTGTGCATACTAATGATGTACAAATGTTTTTTTATTTGTATATACTATTCTGTACTATAAATTTCTTTAGATCAGGACACATTGCAAAAGTATTCATAAGATAAGTGTCATAGTAAGATAAAAATGTAAAACGACACCAAAATTAATTTGAGACGTTGTTTATTTACATGTAATGATGTATTTCTTTATACACAAAACCATTAACAGATCTACAATACCAAAAAAGACTTTAAAAAAGCTACCAGCTGTTGCGACAACAATGTTACGTCACAATTTTTGAATGACACCAGTTTTTGAAATCATTGCGACTACTCGCATGGAGAACAGTGATTTAGAAAGCATGCACACTATATTAGGGAATTTTTTATCTGATGTTATTGATATTCATGAAAGTACAACTGTTACTTAGTGTTAAGATCACCAGCAGCACCCAGTAGCATTTCAAAAATAATATATGAGTGCCGCAGCACCTAGTATAGCAGACTACCTGGATCATTTTATGGACATTTATCACAATATACAGACACCAGTAACACAGTACACAATCATCCACTTGTCATGATACCTTAGTTGCACCATCCAACATGTTATAACCAACATCATGCATTATGCCTGATATCTTAGAGAAGTTTACGCAAAGAACCTATCATTATTATTAGGGAGGGTTGAAGGTTCCTTTGCAGAGATGCACGTAGCCAAATCAGGCTTTCTGCATATTATAAAACAACAGGCTGCACCCATGGGACCATAAGTGACAAGTGTACCATTGCTGATGTTGAACTGTCTATTAGAAAATAAGACAGGGATCTCTTAAATACGTCAGTACATTTTTCTCTATAAAATGGCCCTAATTTTGTTCCTAATTTATGCTATAACCCTTCATTTAACTTGATGCTGTTTTGGTTTATCTGCGAGGCTACGTTCATCTTGCTTTGTCGCTTCTCTTCTTCTTTAAACGCCATCTTGTTCAGCTTCTTCTCTTGCCGCCTTTCCTGAAAAGCCAAAAAAGACATGCAGAGCTACAGTAAACAGCCACATAATTAATAGCCTTAAGATGATAAACTGCAGAAGTGATGCAAAATTTCAATTAAAATGTTATAAAATCAACAGATATATCCACCAACACCCCCCTCACCTTCCTTTCCTGTTTCACTGCCAATTTTCTCTGCTTGCGCTCTTCAGGTGTCTCATCGTTTCGTCGTGCACTAGATGGTGCTGCCATCTCAATCTCATTTACATCTTTTTCAGGCTGATTTTCCAGATCCCTAAGCTGTCGTTGCGTGAGACCCCTCTTTTTAAGAACGTCACTAGGAATTCCAGTTCTTGCATTCAGTTTGATTGCCTTTGGCTAGTGTAAGAAAATTGTTACAAGGATTAAGATACTTGACATACTCAAGTCTTATAGGGTTAGCAGTTTTGCACATCACAGCATATTAGACCAACATCAGGAATATGTTCTAGTAATATCGAAGCAGTTTTTGCCAAATAATAAACCTGGGTGACTCATCATCCTCTTCCTACTAAGACACAAGCTATCATTTGTTTATTAATGATAAAGACTGACTGATCTAGTGATAAATAAAATCTACAAATACAATATTTTCTACTTGCCTTAGATGGCTCCTTGATAACTTTTGGATGATTGTATAGGTTGGAGTAGGTGCTAAGGATAGATTCACAATCCCATTGTTCCTTCTCTGGCTGCACCATCTTCACTAACTCCTCTGCCTCATCCTCATCCTCAGTACTACTCAGCTCTTCCTCTCCAGCTGTATGGATAGGCTTCGACGCAATCTCTTTGCATTTACTAAAATTGATTACAATTAAGTATTGATTAAAATACCTTTGTAATTAAAAGTGATATCATTTTTCATACCATTCTTTGTAATAAATTTTGCCAGTAGAAGGCACTACTGGACAGTTCTTACATAATAGAACATACTAGATAAACGAATAGTTACTATCAAAAGAAACTCGAACGAAATAAAAACAATACCATAGAAACCTGGAATACAATATGCAACAAATTAAATCCAAAAAATCTCATTCCTCCAATAGCGCAACAAATTCACAAGGTTCAGCGGATTGTATCTCTCAATAATAGAGACAACCATTTTAATAACCTATTCTCACAACTTAGACCTTTAGCGCTTCCGCTAACAGAAAAGTGCATTACTTTGCCTGCTGTTCTTTTTCGTAACCATCTAGGACACTGTTGAGAACTTCACTCCCAGGGTGAATACATCCCTCAAGTTCTTCCTGGTCCAACGCTCCAATCTCCTCCTCATCATACTCCTCAAATATCTGATACATTTATCAAATACATCATTCACAACATGCATATGGACAGAAAAGCCTTCACTAAGCTGCCACAGATTAAGGGGTAAACATACTAACATCAATTACTGCCTTTGGATGAGGTTAATCTACGAGGTTAATGCCATGCAGGAACCAATATTCTACACAGCCGATTAAAAATTAAAATCGTTTTATCATATGACAATACATATTCTGTGTGTCACAAACCATACGCATACATAAAATTATATCTCTAACAATAGAATAACTAGATATCTCTAGAATTCCCAACAATAACCTGTGTTGGCATCAACACCTGTTATGTCCAATTCCATTCGTTCTCTGTGTTTAATATGGAGGGGAAATCACCTTTGCCTTTCCCCATAGAAATCAAATTAACTGCTTGTACACAGAAATCGACACTGAAAGCATACCTTCTCGAATCGGTCATCTAGAAGTGTTAGTCCTTCATTCCGCCTGATCACAGATGAACTAATCGAGTAGTCAGTGAATCTAGACCTAGTTTCCTCGCCCCAAAATGCTTTCTCTCTTCCATCCTCTTCATCATCGTCTGTGTCCCAATCCCCATCATTGCTGCTCAGGTAATCTGATCCACTGGCTTTCTCCCTGCAAATGAAATACCTTATAATTATGCACATTTCCACAAACAAACAAAATAATTCCACCCGAACGATGAGTCATGCTACTCTGAATAACCGAAATATGAAAATAGCGACTGCAACCAAGTATTTAAAATTTAACCACTAAACATACACTAACGTTGTGAAACATAACAACATGGTTTTTAAAATGCAATGATTGTAATACTCACGCTGTAACTTCGTCCGTTTCTTGTAAAGGTGCATTAGCCTTGACGATAAAATCATCTTCCAACTGATTATCTAAACCATCGAAGTCGAAATCGTCATCTAAGGCGGCGACAATATCTGGGTCCCAGTCGACTTTTGGGCCTAAAGAACATTTTGCAGAAATCTTAACATTAGCACTGCAGTTTGTTGGGTTGATATAAACCACAACTGTGCCCCACAGTTGCTTGATTTCTGTTTGAAAATAGATTATGGGGGAAAGCCCAGAGAAACAACTCTGGTATATCTAGATGACAGAATGGCTATGATACTTACGAAAACTTATGAATGAACATGGATTTTACTACGTAGATGTGCTGTCAGGATGACATAAACTATGACATTCCACCCTGACCAAATATCACTGATGAACAACAATATAGAACGGGCGGAATAAAAGAAAACGTATTTTACTTGCCTGAACTCGGGGCTGCTTTGTTAAGCAAGCCAACCTTGTGCTCAACTTCTGATCCAAAAACTGACGACGGCAACTCTAATTTAGGCTGACCACTGCCCTGAAAAACAGCAGCAAATGCCATTGCCACTTCCATATACACAGTGGCAGAAATTAATTTTTGATCCATTGAAGACTGCAGCCAAAATGGCAAGTTTTACGTAACTTTATCAGTCACGACAGGCCATACAAGAAATACGATGAGCGCACATGTAGTGTAACAAACCTCTTTGTCTGTGGCACACGCCGAGTCTTTGTCTGTGGCACACGCCAAGTCTTTGTCTGTGGCACACGCCGAGTCTTTGTCTGTGGCACACG